AAGGTCTACGACTCCGCAGAATCGATCTTCATAGGTGGTGTTGATGATATCGTTACGACCAAGATCAGCAGAAATAATATCAAAACCATAATTATGCATTTCATGACCGAGAAATCAATCTCAGTAATTTGATGATATAAGTTTCCTACAGAAATAATTATGCCTGTAGAATAATTACTAGTATTCCTACTGATAATAACAGCTTGTATGGTTGGATAGTCGAAACAGATTTCTAAAGAACCCCGATATGAAGATGGGGTGTGTATAGCATAGCCAGAAAAGCAATGATCGTCCCCGTAGCGAGTCTAAAAGATTCCTGGAATAGTCTTCTCGGCTACAATTAACGGTCAGGGTTTTCAGTGCAAAGTAGTCCAGGGTAACAGACCATATCTGTTACTGCGCAGAACAAAGGCTTCCCATCGGAGCCTTAATAGCTTGATCGCAATAAAATGCCACCACTGTTACTGAACATATATCAACATCAAGCACCGCGTTATTACAGATCTTGAGGGGCACTAACAAGCTTGGTATTAATTAAGTAAGGGAAAGCCACTAACAAGAATCGATATATTTCGATTTGTTCTTCAACTCCGCCATGTGTCGGGGGAAGATATGAAAAAGAGGCTTTTAATGAAATCTGTGACTGGAAGTAAATGAATGTGGATCAGAAGTAATTGGGGGCTTTCATGCCTAATTGTGTGATTACTGGCCGTGTATTTAACACTGAAATGACAAGTCATAGGGATCGATGGATATCGACAAGCACTGGGATGCTTCTACTAACGATGAGTGATTGGCATGTTAATGATGACTGATTGACAGCTACTGACAATAGGTCTTCTCCTCGGACCTGTCTGCTGGCCGTGTCATTGAATTACTGAGCTGAAACCTTACCAGGCCGCTCTGAAATCGACTAAATTTATGACGGCAAAATTTCATAAAACGTGTTGGGAGTTAGGAATTGAGAATTACTACGTCTGGAACTGGAATTAGAACGTCTGAGAGAATCAGAGCGTAATGGGGAAAGGAGGATAAACTCATTAAGGACTGGTCAAGCGACCCTGGTCATCCTCTTTAGTATTCAAATGGACACCTGCAGTAGACAGGCGAACTAATGTATGTTCTCTTTGCAAATTCCAGTCGTCAATATCTACACCGTAAACTCAAGGTCGCAATCACAATATATAATCATTACTACCACCCTTTACATTTATATGTCTCCAATAGACGTTTTGTCACCAGCCATAGACAATGTAAATATATAACGTCAAAGCCAGAGAATAACAAGTCTCGATTATCCTACGAAACAGCTTTGCGTAAAATGCAAAAGAGAGGCATAAATTATAGGAATGGATGACTAAAAATGGCTGGTGGCACCAGGTGTTTGAGAAAGGGTAACCGGTCCTGCCCTTTTTATGATGTGTAAAAAACATAAACTGATTCAGGATTCATTTCCCGTGTCATAAATGTGCTTATATACAAAAACTAGTGAAACTTGTTTCAACCAAATACGCTCACCAAAAGATATATTAAACTGTGTTCAGCGAGGCATGCTTTGGAAATATGAATTTATTGTACCTGTATATTGACCAGAGGTCCATATACAAACAAACCTACTTCTACTTCATTCAAGTAAAAATACATCAAATATTAAAACTTTAATGGTATTGCTGAATCGTGTCTCATTTTACAGAGAATGCGACTAATTGTGTATCATATTGTAGACTGAAACATGTACACATACACATACAGGTTGCATTCCTCAACATAAAATTTCGAGGCCTCGCCATGCCTCCTTATACATGAATGGTGAACTGGCAAGAAGCTTAAAACGTCGCCAATTCATCTTAATGCTATCAGATTGTAAAGGGCGAGGTGGGAGAAGGGATTTGAAATATTGGCATGCAACTGACATATTTTCATTTGAACTCCTGTAGGTTATGGATCCCTGACATTTGTAAACGCGTGAAAAAAGCCGATTATTTGCAAGGGAAGCTCTAAGTATGTACGTGGCCCAAGATGATTTTTTTGTCAAAAGTTGTTGGTCAAAAGAAATTCCAGTTGGGCCAGAGGCCTGCTCATGTTTAAAAATTAGAAAACACACACACATTTTAGCCACGCTTGAGTTTTCATTTAGTTTGGCGAAGTCCCAAACGTGCAATAGTTTAAATGGACACAGTCTAAATCACACAAAACTAAGAATGAACACGAAAGAACGAGAATGAACACATCTAATACTCATCATATTGATACGTCTAAAGGTTTTCCCCATTCTTAAGGCATGCATATCCCACGGCCCAAAGAGTGTCATCTTAATACCGTGTCCTTTGGCCTCAGTGACCATGACAGTCCGAGACAGTGGTCAACCCTGAGTGGTGAATATGTTGGATATGTTATGTCTGGTCGGACTGTCAGTAAAGGTCGCTCTGCCTTCAGACTGTGTGAGTGTTTCATAGTGAGTCATATACATACTTGTCTCCGATGAACGTGTTGCTGCAGCCGTCGGGAAGACGTCCCTGTCGTAGTTTACACGACCACTTCATTACTGATATCTCAGTTATGGACACCATTGTGATCTATGCATCATGCCGACATGAATACAATACAAGCTTTCAGACAAATTATTATCAATGCTTTGCTATTTTTAGAGTTAGAATAGATAAGAAGATGGCTGTCACCTTACTGAAACAAAATGTTATGATTATGTTTGGGGCATATTTGTAATAAGAAAAACGATTGAAAAGAATTATGAAACTGATATCAAGTTTTGTTTTCAGTATTAATTTTAAATCAAATCAGTGTACGTTAGTCCATTGATGAATCAACATGTTTTGAATGGGATATAAATTCCCGTGTTTAACCGTGACCTTTAAATATTATCATGTAATGGACCTTCAGCATTGGTATTTTCAAGATTATGTTTAGTTGCCTCTCTCGCATCAGTTGACTGGAATGTGGTCAGAATATTGCAATTCTACATAGTTTGTTCCAGACCCACAATGTCTCGTTCTCATTCAGTGGGGTCAAGTCACCTTTCACCTTGACGTTGACCTTTCGCCAATATATAAACATACTGATTGATTGGCCATCGAACGTTCTGTGTGCTTACATCGCATATCAATACAGTAAAAAGGTTTCATCTGAAACCCGACCCTTGTTGGTCAGTTGGAGGCTCAATAATGTGACCTCTGACCTCTCTCATATCGATCAATTTGGCTGACTATCAAGTTTGACTTGTGCTAATATAGAGGTTGTCTACCAATTGAATTCCGGTCAAAGCCATCAATATTTTGGTATCCTCTGAAAACTACTCAAATGTGACATTTGACCTACTTAATATACTGATAAGGGTCATCGAACTCGTCATTGACTATTGAGAACCAGAATTGTTTTTATACTGATTTCATATTTTGTAAATTAATCAATCATCACACTAACGGGACGTCGGGTAAGTGGGTTTCATAATCTCGCCTAAAGTCTCCCATCGTTTGTTGGATGTAGGGAAATTATCGAAATGTGTTGTCTCTCAAATGAACACGAGTATATAAATCCTCCGTTGATTTATCTTCAATACGGAACCATTAGTATGGCATTAAATCTAAGTGACGCCGTCATAAATCACAAATATATGAACAGCTAGGACATCTTCCTGTTTCAACAGAAATAACGACAAGATTTATGGCAAGAGATCCCCAGATCTCTTCAACCTAACCATAAATACAGGAATCTGATTCATCAACGCCCAGATGGCCGGTGTATGTTGCATCGATAAGTGAAAGAGACAGCCTTGCATTCATGTCAATTACGCTAAGTTAAGCGGTGACAGATGATATCCACAGACAACCAAGACTTGATATTAGCTGATACCCAGGTAGACTTATCAATCATTGTTAGGCCTGTTGTATTTCATGTGTATTTGTAAATGTGAACTATCGCCACAATCATTTTGTTTTAATTTCGTCATCCATTCATTCATTTTCATTTTCTCCCACCCATTACTTAATTATTAAATATAAAACGTCAACGCCAGAGAATAATAAGTCTCGATTATCCAATAAATTCAAATTGGCGTTAAAGACAAAATAGTGGTGAAATTATATGAATGGATCACTGAAACTCGATGGTGACACCAGGATCCCGTTCCACAAAGCCATCTTAGCGCTACGACTGTCGTAAGCCTATGTTAACGTATGTTAGTTAAGATCATCTTAGCGCTACGATCGCTTTGTGGAACGGGACCCTGTTGTTGGTCATGGGTTTCTTGGGCAGAATGGGTGACCAGTACCCTGAGCGTTTTGTATGAACCAATTCCAGTGGGGATCGGGTGGTTACAATGGACCGAGCTCATTGGGTGACGTCATGTTTCGACGACGTAGTAGGTAAATACTTTCAACCATTATTTTTACCATTTTGGACTTTCGACCATTCTTATTTATATCAAAAGTGGTAGTGCGTCCGCCTGGAGAGAGGAAGGTCCGGGGTTCGATCCCCGGCCGCGTCAAACCAAAAGACGTTAAAAGATGGTACTTGTTGTTACCCTGTCTGGCACTCGGCATAAAGGGGCCAAAACAAGGACTGGTCGGTTCAGAGTAAGTATACTGTGTCTGAGTGGGGTATACGCGACGTTAAACTCTATTTCACCTCACCTCATTCATGCCAAAGTGTATCCAGTGTAACACATACACGCGTTAGTAATAATCATTATGCATCAGTATACAATCCATGCATGTGTTATTTATAACCAGTCATGTACGGCTTTTGAAAGCATTTAAATATCACAATAATATCGCGCTATCAATGACAGTCATGATGCTATTACACCAGCAGAGATCATTGCCTTTCACCGTGAGTCCAACAAGTTTTACATACTCCCCATCCAGTAACCATCCTTGTCTGCCCTCCTTTATGTTCATCCTTTACATCATCTATCCATCCATCGGTAAGACAGATACACTAAATAGGTTACTATTGTTTCTGTATATGGCACAGAACCGGCATACCTCCTTGTTGGTAACATCCACTCCCTTCGGTGGCAAGCGCTTGGTCAGTTCGTCGAAGGTGTACGTTTGATCATAACACGCCAGTTCCTGCAGGGCAAAGGGCACGTTATAATATCAGATACAAATCATTTAACATCTAAACCACTCAAGTTCACGACCCAGTTCCAATGTTACATTGTCTCATAGACTTGACTACTAAATATCATTACCGTAAAATTAGGATTCTGCTGAGATACTTTACGTCTTTGAAAGGCATTTAGAAGTGATACACATAAGGAAGAGAATTTACGGATGACAGCTTTATCATGAGGAACATTATGTTTCGGAATATATACTTACTCCTTCATCAGGTGAATAAATAAATTCTCTTCCTTATGAGATACTATAGTTTGGTCACAATTGCAACGTAAACTTTCCGCGTCCGGGATATCACGACGGGTGATACCAGGCATGCCTGAAATGGGTTTTCACAAATTGTACCCATGTGTGGAATGGAACCCAGGCCTTCTGTGCGGCGGGCTGACCATTAACCACTAGGCTACACTACTATCCTTAGGACTTAAGGGAATTAACTATGATGGGTATCTGATGATTGTCAGATATACAGGCAATACACTGAATTCTCTTGTCACCGAACGAATGGTGAAATAAGTATTGATCTGTTTGTCATTGTATCGTTTGTAAAGCCTAAATCTTCACACTCTCACTGTTATACACCAGACTTCAGCAAATATGCATGTAAACATGTAAACCGCTAAATTTGGATCTCATGGTAAGGCTCTATGATACCAACAACTGGTTTATCTGACCCTAACGCAATTGTTTACAGGACGTCATGATATAGTGTGGAATATTGGTCGGGTCAACAAACAAACAAACAAACAAACAAACAAACAAACAAACAAACAAACAAACACAAACATAACGGAAGCTTGCAAACCATATCAAGTAATTGCGATGCAATCCTACTCCCATTTAACCATCTCGTATAACGGGTACTTGGAACGTATCCTATCTCCAGAAGGGACACCGACTGATCAGACAGTGATGTTGAACGGCACAGTCAGCACCAATTCCAGTTTTATCACGACGTCCTTTAAATAATCAACCCTGGACCAGGAAAACCCGTGAGACATGAACACCGACCCACGACATCGGCACACGATGACACCCATACCCATCCACACCATCAAGCCTGATCACACGCTCCTGTCAGTCGTCTCTTTCTACAAGCATGGGGTGCTGGGGACCTGGTCTTCCCATGTCAAGCCACACGACGTAAATCTATGTCGTCATCGTTATCTAGTCTTCATGTCAGCACTCTTATCTATGCTCTCTCTCGAGATGATTTCTGATCTATATTCGGAACAACCCAACCCCGAGACAATACTACTCAGGGATAAGGTTCTAATGTTTTGAAATAGAAGCACATTCGTTTACAAAGTCTTTAGACAGTAAGGGCATCCAATCCATGGGATCAGAAACCCAACAAAATATAATCTCCCCATTTTCATCTGTACTTATTGGTTTAACCTGAAAATATATTTGGCTAAGATAGAATAGCATCCTCATCATAGGAGTGGCCATAGCGATGTCGCCTATTCTCTACCAGAAACTACAGACATTGCATCCGCATTCCCAATCGTTCTCGCTCTACAGAATAAGTCTATTCATCCATCTCAACACCAACCTCAACACCTCTTCTCAGAGTCTCTTAGTATACCACTACTAGACAAATAATGACTAAACTCGGAATCAACAAACATTGATGTGGTTTCCATCACTGTGCCCTGACGAAACTCCCGCGCGGTATTTAACAATTTGACCAAAGAGGTTTTCCTTCTGTCTTAATTATCCGCCTGCAGCATGGAGAGGATCATCTTCAAGTTTCACGTGTTTTCAGAAGCTGGCAATTAGTAAGCTGTGGTGTATAGGCCGGGCGTAATTGAGCCGCTTTGAATGAGGATTGAGAACGGGGCTTGCGCTGTTAATTTTATCACGGGTAAAGAAATGTCAACAGCATTTGGCTGCTTCGACTGGCGATTAATTGAGATACTTTGAATCATTGATGTCCGAAGATGGAGACTGTTCCTGAAGAGGCTATTGTCTTTGTGTCGTTATGAATTTCAAACCTCAGATGTATTGGTACTCAGTGGACATGGAGGGACGTCTCTTAACTATGAGTCATTAGAATACGCCTAAGATTGGCTTAATTAGACACGATGAATGTCTTGACTCACCAGAAACATGGACTTAATAAACACTGCACCAGTGCAGAATGGTATGGCATTCAATGAGCATTGAGCAGTGTACATGCGTTGTGGTTGTGGACATTATGCAAATACATTGAGCTTCGATCCAAACGTTGTCAGTGCAATTTAAAACATCGATTGTAACGATGTGAAATCATTGTATAAAACCATATTTTATTTGATGTGCCACCGTCCAGTTCAGACATATGTTGCTAGGTGACATAATGGACATGTCCGTCTTTATGTATCTTTAGGGCCTCACCAGACTCGTTACATGGGAAAAACAAACAATTGTACAACATAAACCCAGTTCACTAAATAAATCATGCACGCAAGAGTGAGTGAGTGAGTTTGTATTTGCGCCGCTTTTAGCAATGTTCCAGCAATATCACGACGGGGACAACAAAAATGGGCTTCACTCATTGAAACAGTGTGGGGAATCGAACCCTGGCCTTCGGTGTGACGAGAGAACGCTTTAACTACTAGGCTACCCCATCTGACGCATTAAACTTAAACACATGCTGTGTGTTTGTGTGTGTGTGTGTGTGTGTGTGTGTGTGTGTGTGTGTGTGTCTGCTTGTACTATTCGGAACTAATGTCGGTTCCATTGTGCAAGCCTACAGAGATACCATGCCGCAGTTTGACATGTACATCTCGCCCAGACACAGTATACTGACTCCGAGCAGACCAGTCCTTGTTTTAGCCCCTTAATGCCGTGCGCAAGACAGGGTAACAACAGAGAGGAAATGCATAATGTTTACAAGGACTAGACATCCACCTAAAGACTACATATGTATTCAGTGCATACTATATGCAAAAAACGTTATCATGGAACCCATGCTGACTAAATTCATAAGAATATTAGACATCCATCCATTGCATTGGAAATGCAAGGAATTCAATAATATAACGCAAACAGATATAAAGCATTGTACTTGCTCGGAACAAAACCATTAATTGTATAACTCGAGTGGACTAAACAGTGTTTGCATATAAAACCACGTGGCCAAACCGAAGAGCCCCAGCGGAACACAGTAAAATAAACTACGGTTATAACGAACACGCTTATAACGAACTGACGGATATAGCGAACTTACTTATTTGGTCCCGATTATTTGCTGTAGTTATGCTGTATATATGCTTATAACGAACTACGGTTATAACGAACTAAGATTAGTAGTCCCTTTGAGTTCGTTATAACCGTAGTTTATTGTACAAGACACGTGAGTTCCAGTGAAGATCAGGGTCAGAATTGGTCTTTAGCAACCCATTCCTATCGTAAGAGGCGACCTACGGGATCGTGTGGTCAGGCTCGCTGACTTGATGCGCGTCATCGTATCCCAACTGCGGAGATCGATGCTCATGATGTCAATCAGTGGATTGTCTGTTTCAGGTTCGATTATTTACAGACCGTCGTCATATAGCTGGAATATTGCTGAGTGCAGCGTTACACAAACAAACAAAATAAACCGAACACAGCTGAACCTGCAACAGACTAAGCGCGTACTGAAAGCATGTCTCCCCATGTCCTCACCTCTTGCACTCTTGTGGCTGCCACGTTCTCTTGTCCCAGCTCTCTCTTCATGTCCTCGTAGGACTTGCCGTGCTGTAATGTACAATAAATGTTGGTGAGTAACTAAGTTTTTAACTAACACCGCTTTGAACAGTATCGAGCTCCTATCACGACGTGGTGGTCAGGTTCATTGATATCATGAACATTGCATCCCAATTCCATGGATCGATGTTCATGATATCAATCACTGGATTGTTTGGTTCAGACTTGATTATTTACAGACCGCCGTCATTTGGCTGGAATATTGTTGATTTGGGCGTTAAACAACAATCAATCAAACAAACAAACATCATATCATGACGTGTCGGTTTAATGTGGGAGGAAAGTTCGAGGTTATGCAGGCCTTAAATCTACTGATAAATCTAGAAACATAATCAGGGAGAATCTGGGATTCAAACCCACAGTTATAAGGAACATAACTCTTTACAATGAATGACGACGCCTTAGACGACCGGGCCACCCGTGCCCCTTTCAACTGTTTTTTTTCTCAACAAATTAGATCGACACTTCGTACCCATACGGACAATCGAACCCGGGCTTTTGGTGTGTCGAACAAATGATTTAACCACTAAGCTAACTGATAATAATAAGGCCATGCTTGCCGTAAAATACGACTATGTTTGTAGGAGGCGACTAAGGGGATCGGGTGGTCAGGCTCGCTGACTTGCTTGATGCATGTCATCGTATCCCAGTTGCGTGGATCGATGTTCATGATATCAATCACTGGGCTGTCTGGTTTAGACCAGATTATTCACAGCTCGCCGTCGTATAGCTGGAATATTGCAGAGTTGCGTTAAACAATAAACAAACAAAGTTAATAATAAGGAACACTTACTCAAGTAGCTAATTTATAGAAACAATAGATTTGGAAATGACTTACAGTAAACTACGTTTATAACGAACACGCTTATAACGAACTGGCGGATATAACAAACTGTTTTTTTGGTCCCGGCCATTTGCTGTATAAATGCTATATATATCCTATATATATGCTTATAACGAACTACGGTTATAACGAACTAACATTTGTTATAACATTTGTTATATGAGTTCGTTATAACCGTAGTTTACTGTATTTATAAACGTTATTAGTTCATATCACTAATGGCTAAAGCAGGGTTGAACAACCTGCATGGGAAATCATGGACATCGCCCTATAGCGAGCAGCTGTTATTGCTGCCAACACCGAATTCTTGCAATGCTGCCCAATGCATATGGGGGAGTATTGACACTGTATATTTCAGGCCGTAACCACGTGATACCTACACTCCATTTGTCGGGATCCCAGGCATGGAAATGGCCGGTGAAATGCGGGGGTTCGAATCCCTGTTTGATCTGCATGGTGAGGGTGTTGTCTGGGGTCCGCCCTGCAGGATCCGTGCGTATGTATTCCTAGGAGACAGCAATTATTATAATATTATACTGAAGAGCGTGAATAAACAATTATATGATGCAATATATATATATAGACACAATAGACACAATGTCGTACTGAGATATTGGTGAAGATAGAATGTCGTACTCAGATGTTGGTAAAGACAGAATGTCGTACTCAGATATTGGTAAAGACAGAAAGTCGTATTCAGATGTTGGTGAAGACAGAAAGTCGTACTCCGATGTTGGTGAAGACAAAAGGTTGTACTCAGATATTCGTGAAGACAGAATGTCGGAGACAGTTGTCGTTGAGAGAAAATGTCGTACACAGATGTTGGCTGCTACAGAATATTGAACTCAGATGTCGTTTTGCGAGATTATCTGTCCCTGATTGCACTGTCAAGTGTAATATCGTACATCCACTTGAATTGATGGATGGGTATTCTGTTACATGGACAACATGAGCAAACTGTTATTTAAACCATTGTATTCCCGTGTTCCCCAACAACCCTGCCACCACGTTTGATCCACTTTCAGTGCCAGCCATCTGTTTGTGTTATTAGAACACCTACCATAGCAGTTGAGAGGCTCTCCTTCCGTTCAATCTCGTTTGCTCCTTTGCCAATCCAAACAAATATCTAGATGATAAAAAAAGATAAGTTTTAGGAAAATATTGTTACAGTAGTGTGTTGTGACGTAAGTCATTAGTTTTGCCTGAAGGTAATCATTTTGGGTGTTTGAGGGAAGTAGCATCATTTGATCGAAAAAAGGTGAAGTTTGATTTTAGTTATTTTTCAAGTTAAAAAAAGATGCATTTACTGTATATTGCAAAGTGCATTTTATCTTTTTTGTTGTTGGTTCGGGCGCTATCTTTGATTTCAAAATGGCTCTCATTGAACTCTCTTTTCAAACAAATGTTAACTTCCTTTACCTCGTCAAACGTATCCAGAAGCATGACGTCATCTTCGACCAGATCCTGCAAAGCAAAGAAAAAGAAGTCAGATGGTCAGCTCCTCATACAAGACATACATCGTATGACGAAAAGTTGATCCTAATACAAGACGTCATGAAGGCCTCATAAGAACCATTAAAATATTGTTGTGTATACTTTCTTTTGCCCGGCAGGTTACACGTCTAAATGTCTCATGGAAATGGGGATCTGATGGTCATAATAGTTGAATACATCTTAGATGAATGTTCAACACGGACGACCAAAGTCGACCAAACGGCGGGTTGCTACATCATCGACCAAGATCCGGGGTAGAATAGGTCTTCAGTAACCCCTTCTTGCCGTAAATGGCGTCTATGCTTGTCACAAGAGGCGACTAACGGGATCGGGTGGTCAGGCTCGCCGACTTGGTTGATGCATGTCATCGATCCCAATTGCGTGGATCGATGCTAATGATATTAATCACTGGATTGTCTGGTCCAGACTCGATTATTTACAGATCTAGACCGCCGTCATATAGCTGGAATATTGCTGAGTGCGGCGTTAAACAACAAACAAACAAAACATCCTGCACCATCCTACACATGTCCAAAAAACAAAAGCGACAAGAATCGTTTCCATTATCATAAAAAAATATCTATTAAAACAGAATCCACTGTACGATTCCGACTATATCATAAGCATGTGTTAATAAGTAGAGAATCTCACCCGAGTGTCTTTTGATATCAAATATATCAACACGAGTTTTTTTCGAGGGTTTTTTCGAGGATCTGATATCAAAAGACACGAGGGTGAGATTTTATTTATCATCCAAAATCATTCTTCAAACTTTTTCAATTTGTAGACAGTAACTAGCAGTGTCTTCAGTGTAAAAAGTACTGCTATCAGCTTCAGTAGCAGAGCCATTAGTGATGTCATTTGATTGTGACGTCATGGTAACCAGTGACGTCACAATGGTCTGCAAAGCATTGTGGTGTAACTTCATTGCAGCGATATCTCCAGTGTAGATATCGCTTGATCTAATCCAAGCGATATCTCCTGTGGGAGCCAGTTTTGGATGATAAATCACAATCAAATAGTGATGATACCAGGTGTTCGCGAACTACGCATGTTAAAGAAGTTGTGCTTCATATTATCATTGTATAAACGCCTCTCCTATCGCATTCCTTCGCGCTCCGCTATAAAGTAAAATCAATAACATACAGGCAATTAGTGTCATATGTGTTTGTTATGGAGTCGACCTGTGTGTTATCACCAAGCTCGGAGAGACACCCTGCACGTTGAAAATATGACGTAATCGTCACATACCATTGATACGGTGTCTTAATTAATATTAAATAACTTATTAAAATGATTGATGGTTGTTTTAGAACATAAACTTTAGCATGTGGTGGGTATAAATCTTTTAAAATCTCTGCAAAAAGATTCCACACAGAGTCTTCTAACATAGTGAAACCGCGTGTTTACACGCTGTGTTTGTTGGACACATTGGAGTAGATTGCACTGTGAAACTATTTGAGAAACTATTAAAACGTTACCAATGCTTCATTGGACATTTGGATAAAATGTAAAATCGAATGTTTCCTTTGTGTAAGAGAATCAAGTTAACAAATCATCAAATGAAGACTGCAAATTTCAGTTCCATAAATGTTTGTACGCGTTGATACCATCAGTTTAAACCCTAAATGTCTACATGCAGTAGATCACAAATAAAGCCCTAATGATAAATATCAAATCAAGAACAAAACTCGTTTTCAACGTGCCGCAGCTGTACCTAACAAACTTCCTATGTCAATAAAGTCAGCACCAACTCGTCCTGGCCTTTCACAGAGAACTGAAAATACACGTATTGCCATGTGAAAGACAACTACAAGAATATGAAGACATTGGCGATCCGTAGGTGGAAATACTGTTATGGGCCAATTTTTGAACCGCCACATTATGTTTTTTGTAAGTACAATTTATTGTAAATCACACGTGAGGAGCTTTGTTGGAACTCGACGCTATATTTATTATAAATACATGTAGATGATCATATTATTATTATGTTAAAAAACCCAAGGGATATGCTTCATCACTCCGTGATAAATATATCTTCTTTTATTTATAGAAATAAACTAGCCTATCTTGAAAACATACGTATATCAGCAAAAAGCTCAATACTCGGAGCGAAACTACAGGGTATCTTGCCAATAAAGTCCACGTCGTGAAAGCCCTCGCCTGGTATACCAGAACGGTGGAACACCCATTTAGCTCGCCCCCCGTCCATGCATGATAGCTCTGGCACCATTATTGGCCATAAAATGTCCACTCACGTTCTTAGTGCGTCGTCTGAATGCTTCCAGGGTTCCAGTCTTGCTAAGAAGACCACCAAGATAATGAGCATAACTGCCCTTATAACCAGCCTCACGGAGCAGGATAATTAGAACGTGCGATTGATAATCAAACGAGTTAATGAGAGGGCCAACTCCAGGGTGACCGCACCTATGGTCAGTTTCAGAAACTTGGACGATTTTGAGAAGGTGTGTGTGTGTGTGTGTGTGTGTGTGTTTCTGAGTGTGCTTGTGAGTGTGTCGGTGTCAGTGTATGTGTGTCTGTGTCTCTGTTTGTGTGCGTAAGTGTGCCTGTGTGTGCCAATGTGTGTCTGTATGTGTCGGTGTGTGTATGGGTCTGTGGGTGTGACTATGTACTTGTCTGTCTGTATGTCGTGTCTGTGTCTGAGTGTCTCTGTGTGTGTCTGCATTCAGTAATATATAATAGCATTATGACTCTGTCATGTATATAATCAAGTTTGGACCAGACATTCCAGTGTTTGGTCTTGTGGGCATTGATCCATGCCTTCGGGATACGAAACCACGCAATCAACACGTCAGCAAGCTTGACAACAACAGCTACATAGTCGCCTCTCACAGCCATCATCGACTACTGGGAACCCCACACAAACGCGGGATTATTCTTAGGCGGATCAGATTGATAATTAGCTTTTAATGTAAACGAGATTTGTCATTAGAGGGTTTATCACACCGTGAAAACCCGAATCAATGAAGGTGATCTGATGACCGAGTGATAAAGTTGTCTGGTCGTCAACGACGTAGTATTGGTCAGTTTGTCTTGAAATAGTACACAGTGAAAACCATTCGTCAAGACGGAAACCACTCCAACGGAAACCTTTCCTTCTGGGCGGGTTTCAGTTTATAATAATAATAATAATAATAATAATAATAATAATAATAATAATAATAATCCATAGTTACGGCCCAGAATATATGTAGAGGGCGTCATGGAAAATGATAAATACACAATTCTTTGGAATAGGCCCGTATACAGCATTAGACGCATCCAGGCCAACAAACCTGCTCTAGTCCTGTTTGATGAATCCAATGAAATCAGTTCCATCATTGAATTTTCTGTATTATTGACACAAATGTGATTAACAAGCTTCAGGAAAGACATGTCAAATATGCGGACCTCGCTTTCGAAATGTCACCCTTGCATCCCAAGTACCAAGTTGTCCGACTCCCCTTTGTTCTCGGTGCCTTAGGTTTGTTACCTCCCAATCTGTTGACTGACATTGGGAGAGTTCCCGGGTTTGCTTCCAGGATACAGCCCTTCTGACAATCTGGGTAATTCAGAAGGCTGCAGTGCTGGGGAGTCTTCACATTTTCCGGAAAGTCCTGGGTGGGTTTGACTAGGCAGCGCTTCCTGGGAGAAGTCCCATTCGCTCTCTGGGCTGCGTGTAGAGGGGGCAAGGGCCCTGAGCTGATGATGAGCCTAACCATCCTCACTGTGTCAGAATACCGTAGCCAAAGAAACTCACAGGAGCAAAGAAGGCCACCCATCCACCTACTCTCCGTCACCGACGTTGCTTCATTGTGACCTGGCTACCAGATACACAGAACGACGTGCCCTTGTGTCCTCATCAACACATGAGTGAGTGAGTGAGTATGGTTTTACGCCGCTTTTAGCAATATTCCAGCAATATCACGGCGGGGGACACCAGAAATGGGCTTCACACATTGTACCCGTGTCGGGAATCGAACCCGGGTCTTCGGCGTGACGAGCGAACGCTTTAACCACTAGGCTACCTGACCGCCCCAATCAACACATGACCTTGTCCATGCATGGATGTCACAACGCACCGCGATTCGTAAATCCGGTATTCTGTATAAGGACAATTTCACAGGGAATAACTGAGTGAAAGGTTGGAATTTAATTGTTCGATTGGCCTTCTAGAAGATGGTGAGCAAGTAAGAAAACATACAACTTCACGGATAACAAACTTGCTGCATTGATGATTCTTACACCGTTATCAAGGTGGTTGGAATGTAGTCATTAACAACTGATCTATATTGTCAGGCAATTATTTCAACAGTACATTAATGGTGAGGTGAGATGAAATGGGGTTTAACGTCGCGTCCAAGATTATTGCACTTATATAGCGACGTGCATGCACGTGTATGTGTGTGTGTGTGTGTGTGTGGCTGCTTGTACTAGTCCGGACTGATGCCAATTTATAGTGCTAGCTCACTGAGATACCATGCCGCAGTTTAACATGAATACCCCACTCAGACACAGTATACTGACTCCGAGCCGACCAGTCCTTGTTTTAGCCCCTTAATGCCGAGCGCCAGACAGGGTAACAACAAGTACCATCTTGGTAACGTCTTTTTGTATGACGCGGCTGGGGAACGAACCGGGCGGACGCTCTACCATTAGACCACGGAGGCGGTCTAGTACATTAATCTGACAGTACATTTCAGTCCAAACTCTGGAGCACAACTAGCTTTCTATGGTATCCCGTCCCCAAATCAAACTAAATATCAACGAGTGAAATAAGGGATGGCTGTTTAAGCTAGTGGTTGCAGCGTTCTCTCCTTGCTCAGGAGGCTAGGGGTCGAATCCACAAATGGGTAGTATGTGAGACCCCATTTCCGGTATCCTTTGCTGTAATATTACTGAATTATTGCTGAAAACGTTGTAATTAAACACTCACTCGTTTGATCAAAGGGAAATTATCCGTAAACTTT